TTGGTTTTACGTTTTTTTCACCTTAAATGGAGTTGCCATTGGTGTCTGAGTTGCCCTGGATGCCTGTCACTTGAAGTATCCACAAAATCCATCTTGAAAGTAACCCTTTGATTGTTTGCTAGATCGGACCAATTCAACATGAACATGCTAGACGTCACATCCGTAGAACTACGCTGGAACTTCCAACTCAAGGTAAATTCAGTAAAGAAGGATACAGGCTTATAGACGCATCTTAATTGAACTGGGTGATATTCTGCTCATCAAACATTGTTTTTGTCATGAAGGGTAATTAAAACGACTACTGCAAAGATATTTTTCAGTATAAACATCCCAAAGTCTCTTCAACAAAATCAGTTGAAATAAAAACACATCAACAATAAAATAAGGCGGGTACTTGCTTTTGAATTCACAATTCTGTATTATAATCTTAATTTTCTATTACTTTTGCAACAGCAAAATGTTTGTCTTTCCCACTTGTCATAGTTCATTTTGTTTCGAAATGAACATTAATTTTAATAATTTGCCTTTCAGTGCTTCCACATTCTTTGCATATTTTTACCAAACGTTGTGTGTTACATACTACCTTAAGCAAGATACTTATCATATGAATGTAGAAGAGAAGGTAAAAAAAATATTAAAACTCAAGCATGCTACTTTATAAAATGTAGGTGTCTGTTTATTTTAAGATGTTCACCTACAGTATAACAACTATGAACAGTAACACATTTTTAATTATACTGCATTTCTCAGGAACAATAACATTTATATTGCTTTCCGAGATGAACACATAAATGCGCTGGAATGCATAATTGGGGAAAGAAAAGTTGGATAACACACTGGCACTAATGGTTTTTCATGTTTGTATGAAATTAAAGAACTCAGCAGTGTTCTGGGAGTTTTTTTTCCAAATTTAAGAAGCAAAAGAGGTGAATGTTACTTCTTCATGTTTCCGACTCTGAGGATATGGATAAGAAATGTATATAATGATAACGTTTTTTTTTTTTTTTACATTTTGTTGCTGAGCTGTTCAGTGATTTAGAATCTAGAATCATTATTTTTACTTATTTTTTTCTCATCTTAGATATAGAGATCCAATGTAAGGACGTTAGAACGGGGATTATCTGCACTCCTGTCCTAGGTTTATTGACAATGCTACAGTAGAAGCAGCATTCTGTATTGACAGTAGCTGTCTGATTGACTTTTTAGGCACCCCTGTGAAAATAATGCTGTAGTATACTCAATTGAACTAAAGATAAATGCACAGAGACATTTTTTCCAGATCCCAAAGGGACATCATTCCTCTAATCGTGGTAATCACCTCAGGTGATAGAGAAGATTCATAATGACTTTATGTGGCTCTGAAGCTATCTGAAGACATGCATTAATCTGTTCTATGCATCTCTTTAATGCTTCAAAGGGTTTATAGTCAGGCTGGTGACACTGTGGCAACATATGACTGTTCGTCAGTCAAGTAGTTATACAGATTTATCTTGTTGTTTTTAAATAAATGTATTTTTTAAATAAAGCTGTCCAAACAATGAAATATTTAGTGTTGAAAAACCTTTTTTTTTTTTGCCTTTTTGTTGAGCACCACCAGGTTCTAGTCCTATTTCTCCATGAAAAACACTGAACATCTATAAATGTGTTAAGCACCACAAGATAATATGAATCAGCAACATTTCTCCTTTAGTCTTTTAAAAAACAGACTAACTTTTCTTTCTCTTGTCCTATCTTGTATTAGCAAATAAAAACAGATACATCACAAATGTGTTTTTTTTTTCTCATAGATAATTTTAAAACAAAAGTATTAGCTAACTCCAACTTTAGAGAGGAACATTTTAAACCATTCCTCCATGCTCATAACAGCAGAAACAGTTCAGAGATTTAGTTCTTGATTAGCTAAACACAGATCATAACCAACCAAGCACAAAATCAGCAGATTCCAGTCACCTGATTATTTGATGATTGTTGGTGCATTTCTAGTGAATATGTGAATATTTGAATGTTGAGAAGGTCAAGCAAATTATAAAGTCTCAAACTCAGGCTCATCACACTGCGCTCACAACCGTATAATCAAATATTTCTGCAAGTGAAAATTATTCTTTGCATATGCAAAGCTGTTTTGTGCTTTCTGGTACTCTTCCTATTTCCTGCACATAGTGTGACTTTTTGTTTACTTACTTTTGCATTGCTGCTTGGCTAATGTTTACAGGTTTCAGAAATTGTGCAATGTAAGAGTAAGCTTACACTTTGATTATTTATCCTAATTTGTTTAATGGCGGCTAATATGCATGACTCATGCGACTTCCCATCAGAGGTAGACCATCAGTCTACTCTTGTCATATTTTGGACCAATATTAGGATTTATTTTCTTGTATCAGCCGATACAGTGTAGGAGAAAGGAGATAAAGACATGTTAAGGCAAACTGGCTGAGGAGGTGTAAAACTGTGGGTGTCCGTTGACACAGACTGAGTTTAACAGCAATACAGAGGCAGGGGAGAGATGGAGAGTACCATACATTCAAAGATACTGAAATAATAGATACTTTTATACAATTGCTAAAGTCAAAACTATAATGTGCCTGGGATTTGCTGATTATATCCACGAACAAAGAGTTAATGCAAGTTGGTAACAAGCAAGTCTAAACTAATGAAGCACTGTTTTGAGCCAGTATACCCAGGAACAAGAGGGAGCAACATTAAACCAGTTGTCAAGAGTTTTTAATAACAAAAGTTATATATTGTTTTGTCAGCTGCAGGATTAGCAAAATGAGAACAAAACTGTTACTAAAACTGGTATAAATATGGGTTGCAGTTTACAAATGTAACCTTTAATAAAACTAGCTGATGACTTAAAGGGCTTTAAGGAAATGAGATTTAAGTTGCCACTAAGCAGCAAAACAATGAAAGTTTGTAAAAACTGGGCTGAAACGATTTATTGTAATTAATCGTTTATTGAACAATTGTCAATTAATTTAGTAATTGATTAATCATTAACTGGAGTATAGAGACTCAAACATGCCTTTAGCTCATGTAGCAACCCACATAGAGCAGTGATTATTATAAATATTTTGCATTTAAGATAGAAGAAAAACCTTCTCATCTAACAATATGCTCTATCATGAACTTATCAGACAATAAATGTCATTCTTTTTGGCTAATTGTGTATGATACTGCAGAACTGAATAGTATTTTACTGTTACAGACACATCTGTAAATCAAGTTTAATCTGCAGAACTTCATATTTTGAAATGAAAACACACCCAGAAAACATTTATAGAGTTGACTTTTAGCTTTGGGGCTATTAAGAGCTTTTGACATTTTATATTAGCAAAATAATGAAGGACTTGTGGTCCTCTGGGATATTTTAAAATTAGAAATCCTTTCTGTACTCTTCATCTTCTGAAGGTGTAAACATCGTCCAATTACAGCTCAGAGTCAAAATTTTAATCTTGTAGTCATAACATCAAATCTAATGCACTCAAATAAACATCGAAAGCAAGCCATCTTAGTAATCCTATTTCAGCTCTAATAGTGTCTAAAATGCTGAATCACTTCTTAATAACATGCTGTTTGGTTTTTAAAGTGAACTTCACAATTATAAGTAGCGCCACCTTTTGTTTTGAGTATTTTTTTTCATATATAGATATGTGTTGCTAATCATCCAGGATAAACTGTATCTTTGCTTCCCTCCTTCGTTTTGTGAATGTTAGCTCCACAAGCAGTTGTTTCCATCATAGAACTTGGGTACCTTTTATGCAAGAAGTACATTTATACAAAAAAGCCTTTATTGCAGTACCTAGGTAATAAAAAAACGAACAACAACAAAAAAAACACACTCACAAACTAGCTTCACTATCTTTGCGGAGCCTTTCTATTGAATTCCATTAATTTCTATAACATAACTGTGACCATTACCCTAACCATAATGGGCTCATACCTAACCCTAACCCCAACCTAATCTCAATTCACACCTTAATCCTAAAAATGACCCCTGACCCCAAAACAGCAATTCCCCATGTAGGGTCCAGGCATCGGGCCCCACAAGGAGGAATTTGTCCCTACAACGTCCCATTTTCCCTGAAAATGGGCCCCACAATGTATTAAAAACAAGACCCCACACACAAATGTACACCCCACACAGAAAAAATAAAACAAAAGGCTATACATGTAAGACGGAAAATAACATTATAATTGAATGCAGCCATTCAATGGCAATGGCTACAGGTTCAAGGTCTAGAGATATTCTAATCCTAAAATTCATTAGTGCTGCAGGTTCTATTCCAATAATAGCATTACAAACTAATGATTGTAAAGCTATGGGGCAACTTGTAAAAAAGCAAGGCTTTTCATGATCAAAATGGCTTCTTTTATAACAGCCTCTAGAAAGGAAAACAAAGTGTCATTATTTCTGTTTTTCAAAACAAAAATAGATTTTCTTTCTTGCCTTTAGCATGTTGCCTAAATTACTTTAAGAAGAACATTTGCTTTTTTTATTTGCAAACTAAATTTTTTTGATACCGTCACTTCATAAAAAATTGGAATTTTATAAAATGACACAGCTTAATATTTGCTATGTAGTATTTTTGCAAAATTACATAATGGGGTATTTAGTTATGCAAGTGAATCGTGTTAGGTGCAGGAAAATCACACAAATTCCACATTTATGTTTTTGCAGCTGGAATGTAATCTGCGTGAGAGCTGCTGCTGCTGAGGTCAGGACTAGTGTTGCTGCCAGAAAGAGACACACAGATCTTCAACTTGAAAGAGATGGTAAAACAGAGGGGGGAAAAAATGTGGAAATATAAATACAAAAAAAAAATAATTGTAGAGTTTCTTTCTTATGACCTGTACCACAGATTTCTTATAAGAAAATAAGCATGAACATAAACTTAAATGTGAATATATAGATATTTTGATGTTGAACAAGTAGAAAACCTATGGATTAGAAACCTTACAAAAAATTACAAAAAAATAAAATAAAAAAGAACATCACTTACTGTATTGGCAGTTCCTCCCCATGTACTCCCCTGGGCATTCACAAGAATAGTTAGCAACCTGATCAGTGCAAACTCCTCCATTCTTACAAGGGTCTCTTCCACATTCATTAATATCTAGAAGAGGAAAAAACAAGACACAAAAATTACAATCCTTAAATTTAGCAGCAAAGATAACCTGAGAGATTTTATGCACATTCAAATTCAAGGTATGAGAACATCTTCAGAATTTTATGTGTTTCTTGAATCCTGTAGATATTCCCATAAATGCAATGCTATATCAAAGCTAAATTTTAAAATGACTCCATCACTGAATTTTCATGCAAAGAAAATGAAAGTTTCAGTGAATCCAGCTGTTGACAGAATAGTACTGCTTCAAAAATGAAAATCAGTATTTTGTCACCTCACTACCTGCTTTCCCCATTTGGATACATCTGATACAAAAATAGACATACTGTAAGGTGCAATCAAGAAGTATGTTTTTTTTTTTTTTTACACAATCATCCATGAGTTTTATAATCCCAGCTTTAATAACCCTAAACCAAGTAATTTCTAGTGTGAACCTACAACCTACAACCTAATCTCCCTTCACATCTTAATCCTAAACCTAACAGTTAGCAACATAGAAAGTGAGGACCAGCAAAATGTCCTCACCTTTGTACAAATAGTCCTAAATTGAATGCTGAAATTTGAAAAATGGTTCTTACCTACCAAAACAGAAGCACACACAAATACACATAAATCTACAGACATAAATAAATAAAAACATTCTATTAGGTTCTCTAATAGAATGTTATATATTGTACTCTGAGGAGTAGAGAAGGTTTCTAGGAGTTCAGAAGAACTACAGCTTTAGGAGAAAAAAGTGACTGTCCTTTAATATATCCTGCAGCCCAGGCATTAGAGCCGGCACTTGGAGGGCAACCACTCAAAAGCACAGTAAAGTGGATGTGAGGGCCTTTAATAATTATGTGTGCCAAGCTGCTTGTTAGCTGGTCACATAGAAATGATAAGATCCTTAAAGGTAGTCCAATGATCTAGGAGCACATAGTGACATTTCTTTGAAGGCAGTTTCTTTGCTGCATGCTGCTTAAGTGGGACCGGAATGTAATAGAAAATGAAATGGTACTCTCTCTCAAAGGGTAATAGATTACAACTATCTAATGCTAAAAAGAAGTAACTGCTTTGCGAACTAATTTAAGGGACTCAATGACAAGTGACTACTTCCCAAAATCACGAATGAACACTGAGGATGTGCAGAGTCTGTCTGTTTCTTTAAATCAGAAGTTAAAAATAAAACATCACTTTAGCTTTTTTAAAGCAGTACTACAGTAAGTAAAAAAATTCCTTAATACATCCTCTTCTAAATCCCTGTAATGATAATCTAAGTGTTTATAATTTAACTAAGTGGTCTCCAATTTCTGGCTCTAGTCTGAAAACCATTGTTGAACGCTTCTGCCACGACCCTGGTGGCAATGTTGCGCCTCTGTTCTCGTTCCTGCGGTAAACAGGTCTACGGCAGCCCAATATGAAGCCATTGGCTTTAATAGACTCATGCCTCAAGTGATTATAGAATATCTTTTATTTTGGAGGCTTATAACATAGCAGAGTCCACAAAAAAGCTAAAGCAAACCTATGGCAGGACAGCCAAGGAAGACAAAAGAATCGGACCAAGGCAAGGTCTAACTGCTTAGAGAGTGACGGCGCAGCAGGTGTGAGGTGTGCGGAGGTCAATGTCTACAACAGTGCTATTTTCCAAAGGTTTCTAGGAGAAATACGACTCAAAAATTATTTGCTGCTGCTTTAAGATTCTTAATGAAATTGGTATAGGTTTTATTTTTTGTTGTTGTTGATTGTGGAGTTGAATGACATTTGATGGCAACTAGTACTGTTTCTGCAGCTAACTCAGTGCCATTGTTTGTTTTAAAGATTTATTAGAACCGTCAATTATTTTCTTCTGAAAAGTTGAATATGCAACAAACATTTTCAAAACGAGTTCAGCTAGAAAATAAAAATCTTTTTGAAATGACTGAGGCTTGTGTGTCAGACTGAGTTTAAATCAGCATGAAAAGCAGATACTTGCCTTACCAATAAAAAGTTACAAAAAAAATCCACTGGAAGCTTAGGGTATTAAAAAAAGCTTCCTGAAATGTCTTCAAACTTGGAAATAAAGTCCAGTGCATTTTTTTGAACTTTTTTGGAATTGCCTTTACAATGTATTATCCATAAATGCTTTATGAATTTGAACCTTTGTTGACGATGCAGTGCATATATGAAATTTGTCTGGTGGTGAAAAAATTACGCAATTTTGATCCTACATGACAAAACTCTACATGATGCTAACTAGCTCCTTTAAAGAAAAATAAGTAACTCTAGCAACATTTATTCATGTCTGATTTATGGATCCTGTTCTCAAATGTGACTGCAAATAACTAGACCAGAAGGAAAATAAAGATTTTACACATGTAACTGTTGTTCTTCATCAAGCTCAGACATTTTAGTTAATTTAGTATTAAAAAGACACAGAGGGGAGCAGAACAGAGCAGCAATGGTCAACAGTCTCCGCTAATAGCCATGTGAAATAGCCCTTATTCACATAATCAAGGTGACAGAGCTTGAACCCAACCCCATTACACATTTCGCACTCTGTTGTAATAAGTATAGATAAGAGAAGGAAATGACAGCGATAATTTAAAACTCGAGGGATGGAGTAATTTGAACTTTCAGTCACTTGAATAAATCTGTAATAATTTCCAAATTTGCCAGTGGCTGCAAATATGCTTTATCCTCTAAAACACACCTTAAGCTGTGTGTGACTCAAAGGTGTAGTTTGGCTTCATGAATAGGTAACTAGAGTTGAGATTTAGAAAGCTTAAGGAACTGAAAAATGACCTTATCAATCAAAAGATCTTAAATCACTAAGGTGCTTTTTTAATGGTATCTTTTCTTGGTCAGAAATGTGTTTCAGGCAAGGTCTTTGAACATAACTGTCATTAGGGGGCTTTGAGTAGACAAACTAATATATTTAATTCTTTTCTCAAGAGGATACTAAGGAAACATAATTCAAACAGAGCAAAACAGAACAAGTAGAGGATGAAGGAGAAATGATGTGTGGTTCAACCAATACCATGTGAAAAACCTGCAAGTTAAGGGCAAAGTTAAAAGCTCTAAGAATGTGGATAATTTCTTTTTATACATTACCAACATATCAACTTTGCAAAAAAGAGAGAGATTGAGATGCCCGTTTAAATGACACCATATTTTGGTACTTTTTAAAAGAAAATAAAAATCTAGAAAATGTTCATTGATCTTGGTGTAAACATCACATTAGAAGATGGATAGCTGAAATACAATTGTAGGCTGTTAATCATAGTATATCATTCCATTATACAGCCCCATTTAAAGTGTTGTATATAAGAGGAGATAAGAAAGGTTTAAGTTTTATATTGCCAGTCTGTCTTGATTTGTAATTTTTTATTCACATATTTTTTCCATTTGTTTCAAAATGTTTTTCATACAGTACTTTTTTTTTTATTTTCAAAGCTTCCAAAACAAGTAAAATTACTTCTGGGCTTAATGGTTTATTATAGAAAAATGTAATTTTGATTGATTGAAATTGATTTGAAAACCAAAATATTGTTGTTCAAATATTATCCTAGCTGACTTAAGCAACAATAAAACCGGATAAATGTAGGTAAAACTATTGCTAATTGAATAAACAGTCGGGCAGTACAAGACAAAAGAATAGATATATTCTTTTTACTTTTTATTAGATTAATTTAAAAAGACTAAAAACAGGGCTAAATGAAATATATATTATTGTATATCAGTGGTCTTAAGTAGAATTCTATTTACTAAGAAAACATCATATGTTACCATAAATATGCATATGACACACAATTATATGTCACAATGTCAACAGGTGACTATGAACCCAAACAAGAGCTGAGTAAATGCATAGAAGAAATTAGTCTACTGATTGGGCGAAAAACTTTCTTCTGCTGAATCAAAACAAAATTCAAGTAATCATTTCTGGATATAAGGACAAAATGTAAAAGCTAGCACAGAGTTTCAGTTAATGCAGCTAGAAACCACCAATTAGACTAGAAATCTAAGTGGACTCACACCTAAATATAATAACAAAGTTGGCCTTTAGTCACTTAGATAACATATCTAGGATAGAAAAACAAAATCTGACATTAAACTTTTTGTTATTCACTACAGTATTAAAAACTAATTTGAAAGCATGAGCTTAAAAAACTAATTCAAGCCTTCATTTTTAGTGTAAATGATAACTGTCAAGGTGTCTTCACAGTTCTGCCTAAAAAGTTGATCAGACAGCTGAAGTTGATCCAGAATGCTGCTGTCCTCGTCCTCACTAAAACTAAGTGGAGAATGTCACGCCAGCTCTATACTTTGTACATTGGGTCTTTATAACTCAGAGAATAGACATTAAAATATTTCTGTCACTTTTTAACTGAATGACTAAGCACAAAACTAGATTACCAACTTAGTGTATCAACCAAAAGAACTCAGACCTCTCAGGTCTTCTGGCTTAAATGTACTCTGCACACCCAGAAGCAGAGCCAAATATGGGGTATCAGCTTCCAGTTCCCAGATAAATGTAAAAGCACTTAAATACAGATTTTAAATCAAGATGCTTCTGCACTGCAATGTCCTATTCTGTTCTTTTTCTTTCATATGGAGCCCTCTGATTTGTCTTGAAATAATGAAATGTACTATATGAATAAACTCGCCTTGCCTTAAAGGACAAAAACATACAATCTCATTGTAATGACTGAGAGATCAGAAACAATAGAAACTATGCTAAAGAAGAATATATTTATATTCTTTTAGATTTTGTTTAATTTGACTTACATCAGAAACATTTCCTGAAATGGGGCAATTTGAAAGAATGTTAGCACTTAAATTCAGTAAACACAAATTTACTACATGATTAAAAAATCATTCAATGTTTTTTGTTATGATTGTGGTTTACAGCAAATGAAAACAGACCATACAATACATTTCTATATAACATAAGAGACTCTACAAGAAGAGTAACCTAAAGACATGTTTGTTAGAAAGAACCAGATTAAGAGAAATGTAATCTGAGT